GGAGGTGGCAAATGCGATTCATGGGGGGCTCATTGTTGTTGCCGTGGTTCCCACCACCACCACCGGTCCCAGCACCATTAGCACCGGTCTCAGCGGCCTCATAAGTGGTACGGCGAGTATTTGTCATCTGCATATTTCAGCAACAAGTAATGATTGAGTGAAGCTGTAATAATTGTGAGTGAATGAAAAATTATGCCGAACTGAATTTACTGGAGAGAATAAATTCATACAATAAAACAGAGGCACAATAATCACATCCCAATTAAAACAACATCACTAATTAAATTACTTCGAATGTAAACATCGCATCTAATACAACCAAATTGCCAGCATACATACACTGGACTTTTATGCGTTCGGATATCACATTAATAGCCAAGTTCCAATCACATGCCAAGTCTCATAAGTTCGAAGCAAGATACATTAGGTTACATGCCAACAAAAGAAAGGTCATCGCGATAGGACCTAGATACTAGCGCAAGGCAACTAGCCTACTCCTCGGGGCCGTCGTCGGGGTCGGAGACGTCACCATCGCCCCCAGGTGAAACTACAGGCTCGTCCTCGTCGTCGTCGTCGATGTCCATGCCAGCGGCGTCTGGAGGAGCATATGGGCCAACCCCATTGTAGAGCGTGTGAAACTCCTCGTGCAGGTTGACGTTGTACTCCTCTAGCTCATCGACCCTCTACAGCAGAAGGTCTCTCTCGTCCCAGGCTTCATTCCTTTCCTGAACCAACTGTCCAATCATGCGGTCTGCATTGTTGTTGGCTTGAGTCAACATATGCACCCGCTGCATAGCTCTATCACCTCTATCTACTGCCTGGTCCTGCTATAAGCTCATATCAGCCAATTGCTCCTGCAAACTAGCTATAGCACATGCCTGTTTCTTCTTCTGCTTTCTTACCTTGAGCTTATCATGACTACGTAAGCCAGTCAAAGTCCAGTAGGTACTCTCAAGACCCTCATACGCTCTGTTGGCGGTGAACATAGCACTCATAGCATGGTTGTCGCCAGCCTGTCCCTCAGCTAGACCTCTGACCAAGGCACTTCCCTGAGGCTGAACCCAAATAGCATCACGAGGATCATCTCTAGGAAAGGTGCCAGCTAGAGTTGCTGTAAGCTCACTGGGAAATCTGCTCATGATATCCCTGATGACACGGAAAGCTGCTCCCTCTGCACCCTCAATAGGAGTGTGGCCCTCAAACTCCAAGTGCCAACCATCCCACTCTAGAGCATCACCAAGAGCTGGAACTGTGATCTCTACCACTGCAAGTCCATCCTCTACTAACTGGTTCTCATTCCAAGAGTACACTGGCTCTTGACTCTCTGGGTACCCCACATCATGGAGCACTCTCCAAAGCAAGGTCGGCATGCCAAACGGCTCAAGAAGGTGTCCGTGGTGCGGTGCTCCCTCAGGGCCAACTGACGTTGAGATGCTCTTCCTTCGGTGGACTTACGGGCAGTCTGCTTCGTGCGGACCATCTGTAGCAAAATTTCTTTTATTACCCCATGGGAACATATTTTAGGTGATACAACTTTTATCAAAATGAGATAATCAATTTATAAGGGGAGGAATGCGTGACATGAATGAAATGCACAAGTAATATGATGTATGTATGTGCCGTACGTTCTCACAAACTTATGAAATAAATAATTTCTAGTGACGAATTCGGTGGCATACAAACGATCTCTCAAATACGTATCTAATATGTTCTACACGATAACGTTGTTATGTACCTGCAGAAGATTCATTTTAGCCCAATTCCCAATGAATGCATAAAAGCAGTAAATTTTTATCTACACGCTCTACACGAATCCCTAGATACATGTACAACGGTAGTAACTACCCAAACCATCGTCCTATTGACGGCATCGCCTCAACAGACGGAATACCCACACATGAGATACCTTTGTAAAACATGCGTAGAACATGTAATTACTCCAGCATCATATAAGCATTCACCTTAGATCGGCGGTGTATCCGATCATGCTCTCACAACTCACACTTACCGAGGTGTAGAGGCAAATGATCCATACACTACCACTCAAACAAGTGGCACTCATACAATAGCACGCCGTATGAGCAACGAAAGAGAAATATGATGCAAGAACCCCAAGTCAGTACTTAATTAAGCCACCTAGAGTCCTTAACTGGGCATAAAGGATATGACCACTGGCACACTTTTTAGTTTGGAAATCACGTTTTTCAATGCCTTTTTGTTTAAAATACACTTGTGAACCGTAACACGCTAAACCATGCTCTGATGCCAGCTGTAACAGAACCGACCAATTATACGAAATTAAGTAAGAAAATCATCCGCCAGAGCAGACGATTTAGCAAACTTAAGCCCGTATAACCTAGTAGTCCGTGAAATCACGAAGAATTTCAAACCAACTCACATACCAGCCAAGATCGTAATAAGTTTAGCGGTCACCATCACATATTACATAAAAGTTCGCATCACAGATACATCAGAGTTTAAACATAGTTATTACAAAACGAGTTTAAATAGAAGTAGCGGAAGCCATTTGTTCAAAACCACACACACTCACACGGAGTTCAAATACAATGCCAGCTAATGATTATCTCCAACAAAAGCATCAGACGAGACGTAAGGAATGACCATGCCCATGGTCCTAAGCATCACCCATCGCAGGATAAAGGCAGTTGATACAGTAGCCGTAATACATTTGCCCATCTGCAACAAGTGGGAATAAAACCCTAAGTACGAGAGGGTACTCAGCTAGACTTACCCGACATAACCGAAAATAAAGTGACACCAAGGATTATGAAGGGCTTTATAGTAGGGTAGCTGACTCATTTACAAAAAGAGGCATTTTTAGTATTTCAAGAACCTTTCCAAAAGCATTATTCTCAAGTTAATTATTATTAACCTGTCGACTACATTTGCACCTATACTAGAGCAAGCATGTGATTAAGCAAATAATGATAACCAATGATCATTAACAACTTCCATAATGTCATGTTTATTATAACTGTCCAAGTGTTCCATCAACATTACTATGATGAAGTCACTCAAGTTAAGTGCTCACTATCCAGGAGCGATGGCGATTCGAATCGATTCCTAACCAGCTGGTGATTTATTCCTTACACAAACCTCACTCACCCGCTAAAGTGAGGTATCGGTCACCGAGTCAACTATCCAGGAAAATCTCGAGTTTGCTAGGAACCACATATACCCGGGGGCCGACCGACTGCCTTTCGGTCTTATCATCGCGCCCCCGTGTCCTACCACACCTGCTCCGGTACAGTGCGCTGCGGGCAATCTACTCGGCCCGAATAATCTCCCAGCTTCGTGGTCGAAAGGTACTTTATTCGGCTAGCTAAATGTAAGGCATGCGTTCAACATGACCTGAGGCCCAACAACGGTCGGTCCTTAATCGACACAGACGGAAAGCACTACAGTCCAAAACTCTGTAAGTCTCCGTCCGGTCTCAACTTCAAATTAACACTTAGTTATACCCTGACTACATAGTTATCCAAGCAGATCCAGGTAACCACCTATAGCTCACAGGTGACAGGAAATCACCCGACTTCTACCGGTCTAAGCCAGCTAAGCATTGACTCGACTGCGAATACTAGGGTAACAAGGATATAGTATAACAAAGGTAGACAAGGTATAATGCAGCAACGGTTGTAAACAACTCCTGAACGTAATGCATCAATTAAAGTAAAGCATTTAATTAATAATCGCAAACCGGAGAGAAAAATGCTCCGGGGCTTGCCTCTCTCGAAGGAGCTAGGGCGGTGATCAGGGCACTCTGGAAGTTCCTCAACGTCCTCCTCGTCTGCTTCGGTCACTTCCGGCGGCTGCACCTTGAGCTGCTCCTCGGGCTCCTCGGGTATGACGACTGGGCTCTCGGTTTGCGATCCTGTATGATGCAGGTGCATAAGTGCTTATGCAAAAGGTGCATCGGATGAAATGAACACAATGAATATGCTTGCATGCAAGGTAGATGAACATGATTCGCTTTAATGGGGAGAGTATAATACAAATCTCATACAAGGTAGTCAACATCATCCAAGAACATGTACTACAAGCACATGTCATCTACTGCATTCTCTTCTACTACTAATATGCTAAGTCAACACATCTCATTGAATGCTTCAAAGATACACCAAAGCTTCACTAATTTCTTAATCATGCATAAAGCAACATTTGATTAAACCCTAATTAATAATATGTTTGAATAGCAACATCTATTTTTATAGCATAGAAAAATCTTAGAAAATTACCATAGCACAGTACTACCCTAAGTAGTCTACCATCAAATTTTTATGGCATTTGGATAAGTGGAATAGCCTACACAAAAATGACAAGCTTGGACCTAAATATGAGCATGAAAATACTTTGTATTATGAAAAGTGTCAAACAACAGATTTAGTATTTTTCCTAGGTTCTAAATAGTAAATAATCACTGTAAAAAAATTATCACATGCATATTTTATACAAATTTTGCTCTCTAGTAAAAATAACAAAAATCAGCCATTAAAGGCACTTGAACTACACCTCACAATTTTTCTATAGGACATGCATGGCATATATTTTTCCTAGAAAGTACATTACACAAGAAGAGTAACAAACTTGGAAGCATATTTTTCTGATACATATAGGTTTTACTACACATTTTACAAGATATCAGCAATATCAAGAATTAAATAAAGCTCTACATAAAAGTATCTCAAAAATGACATGCAATATTTTTATCATGTAGATCTGGTGACAAGGAACACAACAAAATTTGTTTCAACAAATTTGAAGCCAAAATGAGTACATAAACATTTTCCAAAGTATTTATCTTCCCAAATAATAAAGAAAAACCAAAAACATTTTTCCTATTACTACTGGGCCGCCCCATGGGAACGACTGGCCCACAGCCGCTTTCGGCCTGCGCAACCGAGCGGAGGGAAAGGCGACGGCCCAGCTCGGGGCTCCGGCCCAAGGCCGACCTGGCCCAGCAAGGCCGAGGCGAGACGGCCATGCCACGCCGGTGTTCCAGGCGCCATGGCGGTGCGGCCGCTGCCAGTGGGCCGACGGCCGTTGCTAACCATGACCGGGCAAGCAGGCGTGCGCGCTGGGTCCGCAAGAAGATGGTGAACCCGAGCAGGTCACTCAAGGGGATAGAGAAGGGACGGGGGAAGCCCTTCCACGGCGAGGTCAAGCGCGGCGGCGCCATGACCGACGATGGCGAAAACGCGCAAGGTAGCTGTACCTTGCTCCAACTGTGACCCTGTAGCGAGCACCGGGTGTCGGGGAGCAAGGCGGAGCGACATGTGCTCGATTGCGGGCAATGGTGGACCACCAGCGGCCAATTTCGCCGGCGGGGCTGCGGTGGCGAGGGCGGCGCGAGCAGAGCTCGGTGCGGGGCGAAGTAGAGGCGCTGCGCGAGAGAGGAAAATGAGGAGTGCTGGGAGAAGCGGAGCTGCGGGGGCTTGAAAACGGGCGAGGCGCGTGCTCGTGGGGGCCACGGGACGCCACTCGGCCGGCGTCGCCGGCATGCGCTCGCCACGCGGCGCGGCATGCCTGACGCGATCGGACGCGTCTGCGCGCGCGGGGGAGAAGGAAGACAGCGCGCGGGCGTGGGCTGGGCCGAGGCGAAGGCGCGGACGCGTGAGGATCGCTGGGCCGGCTTCGGCTGATGGGCCAGAAGTGAGTAGGCGGCCCGTTAAAAGAGATAAACAATTTTTCTAATTCTATTTTCAATGAATTTTCAAATATCAGTTTTGAAGTACCATTTTGAGCAAGAAAATGACTTCTTTTGAAAATGGCCCAAAAATAAAAGTTGCTTAGAATTTAGTTCTCTACAACTTTGCTTTAGGGACCAACTAAAAATTTTGCATAGATTTTGAATTGGGAAGCAAAAGCTAAATAGAGAGGATTTTTGACTCTTTCCAATAATAATTTATAAAGCATATTTTGTCAAAAGTTTGAATACAAACTTTGCTTCAAAAATTGTGCTAAATAATTCTAGATAATTTACAATTATAGCGAAACATGTTTTATTTACCTAGTAAGCATAATTAGGGCAAAAATAACTCTAAACAAGTGTATGCAGCATTCATGTTTTACGAGCATGTTTCATATGTTTCGAAGCATTGTTTCAGTTATTATTTACGTGATTAGGCATGTATGATTATGATGCTTGATGATGCATAATATGCATGATTTGCAGTGCCTAAATGCTTACATAACACTGGGGTGTTACAGCATCCACGTAACCTAGAATAGTCCTAAAAATATGCTCAGTCCGTTACAAACTATGGTTTTGCTTTTTCTAAATACTTAACATTTGTTATATATCTGACATACCATATATCTTGATACATAACAATACACAAACAAACAATATGTATTAAAAAAATCTAAAATGACTTACAATTTAATTGGAACTCAGAGAGTGCCAAACAATGATGCCATTTTAGAAAAATTCTGAAGTACTTTTAGAAGGTTGTTTTAGTGTCCAAGAGCATCTACGACATTCTTTCTTAGATTCCCTCTCTAAGTTCTCATTGGGAGAGACATTCAATAAAAATCATCCTCCATGTCTCTCCGCCTTTTCCAACAACTTCTCTATATCTTGATAATTTGAAGAGCGAAATCAAAAATAGATGATTGAGATATTTAGGCCCCGTTTGGCAGGGCTTCACTTCACTAGTGAAGCCATTTTTTTTCTTCAGCTCCACGAATAGTTTCACCGGTGGAGCTGAAGCGGTTTTGGTAAACCGTTTGGCAAAATAACTTCCCTGTGAGAGCATATTTTTAGGGGCCTGGAGGAGGAGTCGGGAGAAGCCACTTTTTTTGGCTCCATCCCACCCCAAATCACTGTAAGAGCATGTTTTTAGGGGCTTCACAAGTGAAGCTATTTTACTTTACCCCGTTTGGTAGAAAACGGCTCCAAACGGCTCCTGAAGCCGGTGGAGAAGCCCTGCCAAACGGGGCCTTAGAGCCTCTTTGGCAGGGCTCCTACAGGGGCTTCAGCTCCGGCTCCTGCTGGAGCTGTGCCAAACACCTGTTTTGGAAAGAGTTCCGCATAGGGAGCCGGTCAAGAGCCGGAGCCATTTTTTGCCTGCGCAGGAGAAGCCCAAAAAACGAGCTTCGCCCGGCTCCTTGCTGTGGGTTCACGTCGTCTAGTGCGAAGGAGCCGTTTTGCCAAACGTTTTCCAGAACGGCTTTAGCTCCCCCGGAGGAGCCGGAGCCGGAGCCATTTTCAGAGGAGTCAGAGCCCTGCCAAACAGGCCCTTAGAAATCTAGTTGAAAAAACCGCTAAAGGAAATTGCAGTTATTAGGCGTGTAACATTCACTCTATTTTGCACTAGCCTTTCCCTCAGAAATTACACGGGGAACATGCGTGATTCAGCCTTCAGGCTCTCAGCACGACAGCACACGAAGGATCTGTGGATTTTTCTTATGTTGTCGTATATAATAAATTCCTCAAGCAATGTACACGCTTCACGCAAGACGCAACACGCGCTTGGCGGTTTGGCCGGTGCGGAAGCGAGGCCGCTATTGTGCACACGTGTCGTCTCCTCCGCCGTTACACACGTTTCGGACTCGTGGACTCCGAACGCGCGCTCTGTTTCACACTCCGCTCGCAGTCGCACGCTGCACGCACGGACAATCTGCTGGGGTGCTGGGAGACCTGCACACCGCTGCGGCGGCCTACTACCGCCTCTCCGCTCCCGTCGCCGGCGAGCCGACCGTCCACCCACCCCACCCTCTCACTGATGGCTTCGACGGTCGCGAGGGGCGCCGCGGCGCGCTCCCCTCTCCTCGTCTACCACCACCGCCGCCTCCCCCTGGTACGGCCCGCCCCCAGTTCCCACTCCCCACCTCACATCTCGCCATTTTACAAGGAAAAGTCCATTGCGTTCGCGCTTCTCTGGATGGATTCCGCTGGCGCTGGTGCGAGGTTTTCTTCGATTCGACTGTGTTGTAATGCCTGGGGTTTGTTGCAGGTGCCTCCCGGCGGGGGAGGCTCTCTCCGGGTGGGCGGGCCCGGGATTGGGCGCGGACGGGAGGGGCGGAGGCGGGCCCGGGTTGGGGTTAGGGTTTTCGCGCGCTACTCCCAGGCTCAGGATTTCTCAACACGCCTCCAAGGTGATGATTTGATTTGATTGATTGATCCCAGTTGCTGTAGCTTCAAGGTTTTGGCTTCTGCTAAGTGATTCTGTAATCTTCGTGTCGGCAGCATCTAAGTAGCTAGGAGGGAAAGTGCCATGCTTAGTACAATATGTATGTGACAAGGCTATAGGACCTGTTGATAGTAAAGACGAGGATCTGTTGTTCGGTAGACTAATGGTATAAAGGATGTTTGAAAGTGGAGTGACTAAGGGATGAATTTGTTGATTTCAAGTTTTTTTGTTCTTTGTAAACTTAACATCCAGTTCTTCATTTTTTTTATTCAAACACAGATAGAGTTGGTGAGTTGCCTAATTTAGTTGAGGACCTTCTCCAGACCTCGATTAGCACAGGGCCTCGAGGCGCTTTCAGGATGGCCCAAGGGATCCAAGCTGTTCTTGGGGTTGGTGGGGAGTGGCTGAATGACCTCTCAAAGGTTTGACTTATACTGTTTTATGCTTTCATTTTGTCTTGGCATATCTGTTGTGATTGGAAATGCAAATGTTCTTATAGCGCTCCCAAAAGAGGGTTAATGCCTTAATGGTCATGTGAGAAGTATCTTGTAGAATAGTGACAGTGCTGATTCAAGAAAATCGCATGGATGCATCAGTGGTGCGCATTCGCGTAATCACACCCATGACCCACTCCCCCACTTGGATACATGCTTGTAAGTTGAAGACTAAAGAGTCAGCAGAGCCTTGGAGGTTCAACATTAAACTGTTGCTGTACTGATTGGTTGAGTTGGGTGAGCTTTAGAGGGACGTTAGTTAGGTCGTGATGGAAGTGGGGGTTTCATTGGTGCAAGATGGGGCTGAATTTTGAGGAACTCCCATGTTTGACTCAGATATTTCTTACCAGTGATTTGAATTTTTATTTCAGCAGGAACATAATTTTGTGCTCTTATTATTGTAGACAGCCAACACGTCAGCAGGAATTCCATCTCAGATGCAGCTTGGTTTGCTTTCTCCACTTTACCTTAGAAGGCTTTTTGAGCGCATGGGTGCGACTTATATCAAGTTAGGCCAGGTGAGACATGTTCAGACTTTTTACTATGATTGATGACAATCTGTGATACACTAGTATCCCATATATATCTTTTAATTATCAATGGGATTTAAGTTGAATTATTAACACTTTTAGTTGTAATAATTATTTGTACATGGAAAATGAAAGATTCCCCTAATTAATTGTGAAAAATCATGATGCAAATTAGCGTGCTCATATGCTCACTACCTGTGTTGAGTTTCAAAGGGTAGCACATTTCAAACAAGCAACATGTTACCTTTTCTTGGTTGGTCTTTTGAGGTGGGTATGGGGATTGAGTCTGAGTAACTTTCTGATTTCAAATGGTGTACCATTTCTGCTACTTCTTTAAAAATGATGTTGCAAGTTATGATTGTTTGGGCACTGATAGTGAACTGACTGTGTGATGATGCAGTTTGTAGCATCTGCACCAACTTTGTTTCCTCCAGAATATGTTGAGGAATTCCAGAAGTGCTTTGACCGAGCACCAGCCATCCCATACAACGTGATTGAATCAATATTACGTGAGGAGCTGCAGCGGCCATTGGATAGTGTATATGAATACATTGATCCAGTGCCAATAGCCTCTGCCTCGATAGCACAGGTTTCTCTTGGAACCTTTTTAATTACATTATGCATTCTGCTGTTCAAGCATTGAGATAATTCATTGTCATCCAGGTTCATGGGGCTAGGTTGAAGAGCTCTCAGAAGGATGTGGTGATTAAAGTTCTAAAGCCTGGTATTGAAGATACTTTGGTTGCTGATCTGAATTTTATCTATGTTGTTGCACGTGTTTTGGAGTTCTTGAACCCTGAACTACAGAGGACATCACTGGTAAATGCACTCCTAATGATGAAGTTCGTGTGCAATGAGATACTTGACTGTTTCATGACATGTCATTTTTTTTTCTTTAAAACATGAACTTTGCCTTTAATTTTTTTCTTTAATCAAAGTAGCAGCAATGGTTTTATCAGCAGTTAACCATATTTTGTTGTACAAAACAATCACTGGACCAAGTGGTTCTTGTAGCATATGGTGATTTATATTCTGAAAATCAATGTAACTGAGTGCATTATTAAACTGCTCATTGTTCTAAAATTAGTGAATCTATGTGCATCAATTAACACATAAAAAGCTAATAAATTTTAACACATAAAAAGTTAATAGATTAGATTTTGAGAGTGAATATTGAATAGAGTGGTTTAATTAGGGATAATCTATTGTGTAAGTATGCACAGTTTATTGGGAAGTACAGTAATAACATTATGGAATTTGCTTTTATATTTTGCTATTTTTTTAATTCAGTCTTCATATTGTCATTCAATGAGTAAGACAAACTGGACAGTATGTAATTAACAAATGCCATCTTTACTATTTTTTCATTATAGGTAGGCATTGTCAAGGATATAAAGGAATCAATGCTTGAAGAAGTTGACTTTAGAAAAGAGGCTGCAAATATTCAGGCATTCCAGGGATACATAGATGCAATGGGGTTTGACAGGCAGGCAAAAGCCCCATTTGTGTATCAGCACTGTAGTACAAAACGTGTGTTGACTATGGAAAGATTGTATGGAGTTCCGCTTACTGATCTTGATTCTATAAGATCTCTTGTTCCTGATCCTGAGTTGACTTTAGTCACTGCCCTTAATGTCTGGTAAGTTGCACAGCTGCGTTACTTTATCTTGCGATATCATATGAGCCTTTTTTTTTTCCTTTCATGACCTTTGTAGATCCTTGGTTTAAACTTCTGAAAAATGCAAAAAAAATGCAGGTTTGGAAGCTTGATTTCATGTGAATCCTTCCATGCGGATGTGCATGCTGGAAACCTTTGGCTGCTCCGTGATGGGCGAATTGGTTTTATTGATTTCGGTATGCTCAAGTAATTTCTCCCAGCAATTATTTTTGTATTGGTTGATTACTGGTCAGTTACATTGTAAATGTAACAGAACATGAATCACATCACACAACTAAGGGTGAACTTTTACCTCATTATACACAAAAGTTCCAAATATTTTAAGTTCATTACGGTATCATGGTAGTTTATGATTGCAACTTTCTTCATTAGTTGCGTAATTATATTAATTAACACTTTTCAGGGATTGTTGGTCGACTATCTCCAAGGACTTGGGCAGCTATGGAGGTCTTTTTGTCTTCTTTTGCAACTGAGGATTATGATGCTATGGCGTCTTCCCTTTCTGAAATGGGCGCTACAGGGAATGACATAAATATTAATGAATTTGCAAAGGACCTGCAAAAGATATTCTCATCGATACAGGTAATGTTTCCAAATAGGCTATTTGATATCCTGAAGCTTGATCAATGTTTTTGAGAAGGAAAAAAAAGGCTCTGGTTAACCATCTTCTGAGCGACCTAAGTTTTGTGCTGTTTTAAAAAAGATCTTGCTGAAATTGCATAAGTTAATGCTATGGTAGACGTAAATCAAATATTTCATTTAATTAGTTTTGTATTTACAGAGGCGCTTGCCTTCTTTAATTTCTTTGTACTTTGTCTGTTTGTACATTCATGACATCCTAGAATGTGTGCAGTTAATGCTTTTTAACCTTGACCCTGGATTTAAGAAAAACTAGTTGGGTTGGTCACGTGGGCATATAGACATGGCGCTGGGTATCCAGCACCCGTGTCCATATCCATCTGGGTAGGGTATGGATGAGAAATCTGTTTCCCATTGAACTTTGGATATGGGTAGGGTATTACCCGTCCTCAGCGCCACGTGATCGACTTGCATCTAGGCAGCCACCAGTAATTCTAGGAATGCACCTTTTCCTTTCTCTCTCAAGTGCTCTCTCTCTCTCTCTCTCTCTCCTCTCTCCAGCATATTTGTCTTAGCTCGATCATCTCTCTCAAGTGTGCTCTCTCTCTCTCTCTTCTCTATCTCCAGTGTATTTGTCTTATCTTGATCATCTTTCTCTCTCTCTCTCTCTCTCTTCTCTTTAGCTAGCATGCTTCTGTTACCTCGAGCTCTCAGTGTAGCAAAAAACAGAGATGTTTTCTCTCTAAAATCAAAGGCTCGTGTCTTCTCTTTCTGTCTAAATATTTACTCGCACTTATTCTCTCTCCGCTTCCTGGTGTCACCCCTTCCTACATTAATTTAATTAAGATGATTTCATTCTCCTCTTTGTATCCATCTTCAACATCTCTTTAATTTACTATCTTGATATCACCCTAATCTCTCTAGTAAGTTTCGTTCCACAGTCTGTTTCTCTCATATCTAACCAATCTCTTTTGGCTCCACATTCTAGTTCTACAAAGATGAAATAAATCATCTGTTACCCGACGAACAGTGTTTTCTAAAAAGAAAAAAAACCCGGCGAACAGTTCATCCCATACTCTTTGCTTTCTCCACTGGATTCACCTGTAACCATTGGGTATGAGTAAGCTTCTTCTGGGCATGGGCACGTGTCTTTGCTGGGGAACCCATACCCCACCTGATGGCTGGTCTACATGGGCATAGTGTCATTGGATTTGTCATGAAAAATACCTTCATAATTTAGTATTTTATTACTTTTTGTTATCATGTTCATACAAAAAGCAGTCAAAGGTGTGTATTGGAGGCTGTGTCAAAGTCCAAAACAAAATTATACCTCTACAAAAAAGAGGGATTACTTGATATCCCATTCTACTAGCTATTCAGTGCAAAAAAAAATGTGCTAATGTTTTCTCGTTTGTTAAGCAGGACTTGGATACTGAAATCATAGTCGCAACAGCAAGGACCCCTGATGCTACAGCAGTATCAGCTAACGTTGTCCTTGATGAGAGACAGATGAATGCTCTATTTCTTGATCTGGTGAGTTATTTTCGTGTGCAATTTTATCGAACAGCAGAATGGTCTGCTATTGCAAACAAAAGATTAAATAGGATAATATGCTATAAAAATGTTATTTCTCCTACGGTTAGTCTTTTTTGCTGTAGAAGCTTTTTAACTTTAACTTTCCTGGTTGTATGGATATGTGGACCTAGTGAAATTTCTGATGTTGATTTCACAATGGATTGGGGACCAGTGCCTGAACCGTGATTAGGGGCCCATGTTCCGAAGAGTATAAGCCTGAACTGTTTCTTAGCTGTCATAATGAAGTAGATGATGATAAGTTGATGTGGTGTTTATATATCAGTTTCATGATTGCAATAGTTGCCTTGTGTTGTGCGTGTTGCTGTTTGAAAGTTGAAAGGCACTAGATTTTGATTTATTTGCCATTGCTTTTGTGAATTTTCCCTAGCTATAACATACTACTTTTGAGAAACAAGAGAATAGAAAATGAAAGCTGACACTACTGTTATTGCATTTTCCAGGTTAGGGTAAGCGAGTCTTACGGGCTGAAATTTCCTCGAGAGTTTGCTCTTCTCATGAAGCAGCTTCTGTATTTTGATCGCTACACAAGACTGTTGGCTCCCAGCATGAACATGCTGCGAGACGAGCGGATCAACATCTCCACCAATCGACAACCAAGAAGAACTGACAGATTTTAGTGACACCACGTCATTAGTCACCAGCCACATACTAGAGGAGTTGTGATGGGCGATAATAGCAAAGCTCATGTGACCCAATACTGTATATAGTTTTGCCAGACCATCATAGAAATGGACCACACACTAGAAATTGTACACTTCGTATTCTGGAATTCAGCGTTATGTCGTACTAGCTACTAGGCAACATGTAAAACTGTATGTCACTGTCAAAGTAAATTTCAGTAGACTGAACGGTTTGTCTTATCTTCCTGGTAGAGCCGAATCAGGTTAAGATGCAGCTGTTGAGCTGTACTGTATGTCATACCCCAAAATTTCCGATTTTAGGTTATGCAAAGAAAACACTAAATAAAATAAATTATTTTAATATTTGGATAAAATTTACCGAGTTTAGTTTAAGCTAGCGTAAATTTAGTTATAGAAAAAATGTGAATTTTCAAAGTTTTCTAATTTTGACGGGTTTTTGGATGATGTGATGTTTGCTTGTTGCTTCTTTGTGTGTTGAGAGTGAGCAAAGTCTTTAAAATGTGTTAGTAGGTCGATTTTTCTTCTCCGGCATGCCTTTATCTTTTTCTACAATCAAATTCTTTGTTTCTCGGCTTAAGTTTTCGTTGGGAGCTTTCTAAAATCTTTTCTTTGTAACGCAAATCACTCTTTTCAGTTCCTCGTCCGTCAATCAATCTCTACAAACTTCTTGGAAAATTTTCCAGCTTTTTCTAGAACTTGTTCCTACTTGTCTGTGAGCATAATTTAATTTTTAGATACTCCAAATTATTTCATCATGGGCTCCAAATACTTTATTAGGGTTTTTCATGTTCCATAATGTCTCTGGAAATTTTCTCGAATTTTCAGAGCTTTCGGAGTATTTTTTGTGACTTAAATATCAATTCTGGACTTTTCTGGAATTATTTTATCCATAAAATTAATTAATTCCGAAAATAATAAATCTCTCATTTTTCCCAACGCTCAAAGTCCATGTGCAATAATTCTAATAAATCCTAAAGACACATACATTTATTTACTAATGGGCTTTAATGATTATTTAGGCCAATTAGTAAATGTGGAGGGTACAACATCAATTAGTATCATATTGCTAGTTGATGTAGATGTGGTGAGTTTTTCTTCCAATAAATATGTATCAACCCCTTGGGCAAAACACACCAAAACTACCGTAAGAGAGTCCCTAGTTTGAGAAATCCCTCGTGTAGTAAATTTAATTTTTCTCCTCCTTCTCTCGCCGTCAACGTCGCCGCCGCACTGCCCAGCCCGGCCATCTTCTCCTTCGTGCAACAAGTCGAGCCCACCCCTGCGCAGCTGCTGTTGCCATGACCGTGTGGTGGTTGTACGGGAGGCCAAAGGATGAAGACGAGGTAATTACGAAATTACCACCAGTTCGTAATATCGTCGTCGTATATTCGTTTTAAGTCCGTTTCGAGTCGTTCCAATTATGTTAGATTCGTATCGATGTGATCTACATGCTTGTGTCGTCGTTTTTCATGTCAAGCGACTTTTATATATATGCTTAAATATTTAATTTGATTAATATGCATGCAACTACTTTTTATAAATAAAAGCAACATAATTATATACAATGCTCTTTTGCAAATAAGTTTTAACATGACTAGTTGTTGTAACACTCTCGGTGCTACATTGTACAGTTTTTGCTAAAACACTACATGAGCATCATACATATGTGCAAATGTGTGTAACATAAAGTATAAAATCAATGTACGATACTTAAAACGTTTATCCGAAACAAGAAACAAATTTTTCGTTTCATGGCGCTTTATATCGTTTAGTATTCTAAGCGAATTTTTATCGAATAAAAATGATGTAGAACGTTTATGCAAACTTTAATAAAGTTGTAGTACGTACTTCGTAGGCGACGGTGAAATAGGTGCGGTCGAGGACGAGGTTCGCTAGCTAGTATATCAAGTAGGTCGGAAATGGAATTCGACGCGAAACCGTTCGAAGTTTAAGTAATTTCGCGTAAGTTTGAAAACGGGTCGACGAAGCCACGTTTGGCAATTTTTGTAGAGAGATTGACTTAAGAAGTAGCGTGATGTCGTGGCATAGGTCGATAGCTATACGTACCCGCTGGAGTATAAAAGAAGTGGTTTGGCGTTTGGACCTTCGGGTAGGGTTTTGCGACAGCTTTAAAAACCGTGCACGTCACCTATTTTGAATAGAGCCCGCGCTGGCCGCGGTCACCGCCGCTGCTCGATTTGGCACCGCTGCTGGCTCACCCAGCGCGCGCCGCAGCGCCGGCCGCGTCCTCACTGCCGCCCTGTGCTAGCACATCGCGCGCATGGTCCTGCCTCGGCTGCCTACTGCCACGCGCTGGCGCGCGGTTCACATCGCCGCGGCTGACGTGCAGCGTCCGGGACGCCGCCCGCGCCCTGCCCTGCTCTAGCCGGAAGTGCGCCAGGTCCCGCGCTGCTGCTGCGGGAGAACATATCTGCCCGGCACTCGCACGCACGCAAGCGCACTGCGCCCGGGTCCTGGCGGCTCTGCTTCCCCTTCAGCGCGTCCGCCGTGGCTGCTGCTCGCGTCGCGTCGCGTCGCTTGCATTGCGTGCCGTCCGGCGCTGCCGTCCTGGTACTACTCCCGTTGACGCGCGTTTGGGCTCATCCGGCTTGTCACGTTCTCACGCTTGTGCTCAAGGCCACGCCAAAGGCGCCAGTCACTTCGCCTGCAACGTCGTTGGCCGGCCGAGCCACGCCAAGCAACTGTATCGATGCGCTGCCCTTTTTTGTGTATCGTGCACGTGTGGTGGTCGCGTGGAAGGACGATGTCGTGCCAAACCGGTCACTGTGGCGGTGGTACAAGGGAAGGACGCTAATTTGGAATTCTATCGCCACCGGCCGCCATAAGTCCTTAGGAGTCGCCACTGCAATTGGCCTCAACCACTCCACCGTTTTCCAATTAACCGTATCCACTGCGAGCCCAAATAATTAGCGTGTGAGTGAAGCCGTCCTGGCTTTCGTTCGGCCTTCAGCAAGGTGAGACGGGGCGTTTCCCTCGCGGCGGTCCGCCATGGCTGCCTGAGCGGGCGCACGGCCAGAGCGTCGTGGGGTGTTTCGTCGTTTCAATTAGGCTATGCCTTGAGTAATAGTTGACTTGGTTATCGCATGCAGTGGTTTTGTCGACGGAGTAGCAGGTCACCGGAGACGCCGTCGCTGTGCTCGCCGGGAACCAGCGTCACCCCGTGTTCGTGGCCAACAGTCTTGCCGAGCCCTGTGCCTTCATCCAGTCCGTCTGTCACACCGCTGGTGAGGTCCTCTTACTCCTAGAGTACCTGGTTGACTCGATTAGGGCTGAAGTGAGCCGGAGCGCGTGGCCGTCCCCGGTGGACGTAAGTAGATGTCGTTTTCGTGGCCGATGCGTTGGATGGTAGTAGCGAACCAATTAGAACTACTACTTTGTTCAACGCAGCCTGCTGGTGGTCACCGAGTAGTATTTGAGGCGTTCAAATAGGTGATTTCGCCGGCGTCGCGCTACCGCGGCCAGTCATTGCCGCGGCGTGTGGCCACGCCTGCGTGGTGCGCCATTCTGGGCGTGTGTTACCTCAATCCGTTTTGTGTGGCACGTGGAAGCACGTGGGGATGCTGGTGTGTGTCGGCGTGGTCGGTGCTCACTGGCGTTTGGCCGGTGAGGTCGTGGCTGTGTTAAGTCCGGCCAGGGGCGTCACGATGTGAATTTGAAGTAAACAAAGGGGTTAAGTGCTTGAGTCAGTGAGAGAATGGAATAATGTAATAGACTGCGTTGTCATTTGATGGGAACCCAAGGGCTCTTTTGCATATTGTGGCACGTGCGTGGCTCTTCTTTCCCGTGGGACGCTGGCGCGCGTGGGCCGTGCCTAGTTGGGCCGCGCCGGTGGCTGCGTGCGTGCGCAGGCGGGGAGTCGGGTTGGGCCGAGCCGGCGCTAACGTGGGCCGCGAGATCGAAAGCGGTTTTCATTTTTTCCAGCAAATTTGTTAATGTTTATTCAATTTAGTTTTCAAGCTGAACTTTGATAATTTGTAGTAAATTGTGTAGTGGTCCAAAAATAGTAAAACCAATTTTGTTAGGTTTGCAAAATTACCATCTACTTGTTAGTACAGTTAGGTTATAGTTAGCTGTGACGATGGTAGTTTCATAAATTCAAACTAAAGAGCTTAGTATTATGTAGATTAATAATTGTAGGAATTTTTGTGGTAAATCGGTGATAGTTATAGCTATAAAAATTTTACAGTAACCTCACTAGATTATTATGTACTTGCTGTAAATTTCGTAGTCCTAGAGTAGGATGCCAAATAGAGTAGCCATTACCCTTGCTTTATCGTATATAGCGTAAATTAGCATTAGGAGTAAGAACACCTATAGTTGCTATAATAATAATAATGAATGTCATATTTCAAACTTGTTATCGGTAACAATAGATAGCTTAGCACCGTGGTCGGTAGCACTAGCTTAGTAGTTAAATCGATGTACTTTTATTTTAAGAGTTGCTGCTGTTATATTGCTAAGCATTGCATCATCATTTCATGCATGTAGATCACGAGCTGGTAGACTTCGTGCCCGTCGGCGAGTCGGAGTACGACGAGGTGATCGAGGAGTACGAGGAGGAGATCCTCGTGCAGGAGCAAGCCCCGGAGCCTATTGGTGCTGACCTTACTGACCCGTCGCCTACCCAAGGCAAGCCCCAGTGCATAACCCCTATTTTAATGATCACTAAATATATATATGTGTGATGTGCATTTAAGTTATAGGCATTTTATGGAAACTACATGCATAAATATATCTACCCATGAGTCCTACTAGTACAGGTCGAGTAGCTGCTATGCTCAGAATATCGGTAGCGTGAGTAACCTGCCGTTACTCGCAAGTAGGTGATAAATATGATCACTCATGATAAAAGGGTAAAGGTAAATGGTGACCGAGCAGGGATATGGTTTGGGTATTGGTGGGTGTAAGGGGTTGTGTCCTACGGCCAACAGGGCATAGTTTGGTTACACTTTTTC